TTTGAATCACACTCGCTATTATTTTTAAGGCAATTAAAACCTAGAAACGAGACCCAAGGAAACACCCACTGCATTCCTGGGATGATCCGTCTGTGCTCCCTGCATTCCACCCCGGGCGCAGAGGTGGGAGGCAGCCGGGTGCCAACACCACCACGCTGCATTCCCAACAGGGAAAAAAAAATCCATGGGCAAAGGCAGGATGCTCCAACCCAAGCGCTTCCAATGAACACAAGGGCTGGAAAGAAGAGTGGGAGGCAGCCGGGTGCCAACACCACCCCGCTGCATTCCCAACAGGGAAAAAAAATCCATGGGCAAAGCAGGATGCTCCAACCCAAGCGCTTCCAATGAACACAAGGGCTGGAAAGAAGTCCCTCAGGGCCTTTTTCCAAGTGCTGCTTCAACAGAGAGTGCACAAAACGCCTTCCACTCACCAGGACAAACCTATCTTGGAAAAAAAAAAGCGCCAATTAACATTGCAGAGTCTCCGCACCCAGATTCCTGCTGGTTGGCATTTCTATCCCTTGGATGCTGCCTGTCTTTGCTGCTGGATTCCTGAGGCTTAACACCTTAATTCCTGAAATGAGCCCCAGTCCTAATTCCCGATTTTAGGAAAACAACATTCCTGCCATTGAATGAAAACATTTGTACACAGTTCATAAACCATCTTCCTGAGGGGAGGGGGCTGGAGCGGGGGAGCTGGGAGCGCATAGAAGTGCATTGTCCATGGCAGCCTGCGCCGCCATCCAGCTGCTGCTCAAATATTCCAGAATCCTCTGCTGGGCACGGCCATGGCCATGCACAAATCCCAATAAACGCAGCGTGGAGAAGTTTCTGCATCAGGCCTTGCATTTTTGGCCATCGGTGACAGGCCCAGAGTGAAAATCCAGCGCCGCTCCTCCCTCGGTGTCACCACGGCAGGGTGGGACAGCGTGTCCTGGTTTGTCCATGGGAGACACCTCCAGGCCTGGGGTCTCCCATGGCACACTCCTTTGGGAAGGTCAGGAGGAGTAATGTTGGCACAAATCGGGACCACAGAATCATGGAATCATGGTTTGGATTGGATTGGTTTGGATTGGATTGGATTGGATTGGATTGGATTGGATTGGATTGGATTGGATTGGATTGGATTGGATTGGATTGGATTGGATTGGATTGGATTGGATTGGATTGGATTGGATTGGATTGGATTGGATTGGATTGGATTGGATTGGATTGGATTGGATTGGATTGGATTGGATTGGATTGGATTGGATTGGATTGAAAGGGACCTTAAAGCCCATCCAGTTCCACAGGGACACTTTCCACCACCCCAGTTTGCTCCAGCCTGGCCTTGGACACTTCCAGGGATCCAGCAGCAGCCACAACTTCTCTGGGAATTCCATCCCAGCCTCTCTCCACCCTCAGAGGGAACAATTCCTTCCCAGTATCCAACCTAAACCCACCCTCTTTTAGTTTAGAGCCCTTCTCCTTAAAATTCTCTGGGAAGCTCCACTCTGTGCTGCCCCTCCTGCAGGATTTTCTCTGTTTTTAGAAGATTTGCTCAAGGAGAAGCTCTTGGGTGGAATCCTTAGGCCTGTGTTCCATAGGAGCTTGGCCTCACAGGGTTGGGATGGTTCCTCCTGACTTTTCTGTGTCCCAGGGAAATGCAGGTGGGAGTAGGAGTGATAATGTTCCTATTCCAGCCGTGTGTTGAGCTCTTATTCCATGCTGGAGCTGAGCATGTCACACCTTGTTTCTGCAGCCAGGAAGCTCCGTAATCCACTCCCCATCCTGCCAGGAATCTCATCCCAGTGTTCTGGGACCTTTGTTCCCATGGGTTCTGTAAGAGCAGCGAGAGCCTGACAAAAATCAAGCAGAAGAGACAAAGAGATCTCCAGTGGGTTCTAAAATTTGGATATTTTCCCTAGCACACATCGCCTGTCAAATCACAGGACCCAGTCAATACAGTGGAATTACAGTCCTGAGGGGAAATAAATTGAAAAAAAAAAGAGGAGAGAGAGGGAAAAATTTGATTCCGAATTGGAGGGATTAATGGTCAAAAGAATGTTCTTCTGGGAGTAATCTAAGTGTTATATTTACATTTGGCTTGGAATTATTTGCAGTGAGGAATTTCAAATGCAAATATTTTAAAAGCATAACATGTAGAGAGAGACACTGTGGGCGCTTCTGTTTTCTCTGAAAAAAAATTTTAAAAAAAGAAAAAAAAAACGGTTTTCTTGACTATTTTTTATTGGAATCTTAATGAGACCATAATTACAGCAGGAAAAAAAAAAAAGGAAAAAATGTAGCTCTTAAAGGTTTGCTGTGAGTGTATATACAGGCCTTGGACTGCAAAGAGAAAAAACCTCCATATTTTTTAAAACTATTTATTTTCCAAAGTGGTGCATGGGAGGGAAAAAAATGACTGAGCTAAGTAAGTCTTGTCCATTTATGTGCTTAGTCTGTATTTTCTTTTTCTAAAAAAATATCTAGGAATAAATGTTGAGAGTGGGCCCGTTGTGTTTGCCTTGGCTCCCACCTTTATCTTGTTTTATTGTGTGACCCTTCCAAGGGGGGCTGGAAGAACTGCAGAGTTTTCTGGGTTTCTGCTGCATCCACAGAGGAGGGAGCATGAGGAGCCTTCAGTAATTCCCTGTGTTTCACGGAATTATGGAATAGGTTGGGTGGGAAGGGATCTTAAAGCTCCTTTCATTCCATACCTTCCACTGTCCCAGATTGATCCAAGCCCCATCCAAGTGTCATGGACACTTCCAGGGATGGGCATTCCACAAACTCTCTGGAAATCTGTGCCAGGGCCTCCCCACCCTCACATAAATAGATTTATTCCCAAAATCTACTCCAAGAAGGCCCCAGCTGAGCCCAGCAGCCGGAATCAGCAGCAGGATCACCACAGCCACAAAGGTTCCATTTCACGTGGATCCTTTTGAGGTCCTCTCCACTCTCCCTGTCCCTCCCTGAGCTTCCCTCTCCTTCTCTAAATCCCTTCTCACCAGCAGGGTTTGATGGCTGCACTTCTTGCATGGGACATTTCAAGATTTCTTTTTACATCTCTTTTATTTTGCCTCTTTTTATTCACTTTGATTAATCCTTCTTTCATTTTCTTTGCCCTTAATTTTGCTCACGTTTTTCTCACTTCTTTCTTTCACCTCTGTTTCTCTTGCTCCCCTCTCACGGATGGAGCAAACTCATTTAAAAAAAGTGTCTTTTCTTTTCCCCAAGGAAGAAAGTGTCCATTTCATACCCCACATGCCCTTCAGAGCATGACAGGCACATTCTGTGATTCAAACCTTCTGGGTATTGACAGGAGAATAAATCTTATGTCTGACATAAGAGGACATCAGGAAAACCAACCTGAAGCTTTTGGAAAGGATCCACGGAGCTGTCAGTCAGGACGAGATAAACTTTACATGAAATAGGACCTTCTGAAGTCATTAGCTCCCCACTCCTGCCAGAACTGCTGGAGGAGAGCAACGAGAGGCAGCCAAAGAGAACAGAAAACAAACGTGAATGGCAACATGTCCCTGAAGGAAGTGCCCAGTACAAATGTGGGAATGCTAAGGAAAACAGCTCTCCAAAGGCTCAGCAGGAGCAGGACTGATCCACAGGAAAACTGGGCTGCCTGGAGACCCAAAGTCAGGGTTAGATCGCGCGCAGGCAGAGGGGTGCAGCTCTAAGCAAAGGGAACACCTTGTTCAAAATCTGTTTAACCAGCTCTGGGAAGATCTGCTGGTTTAGAACACTCTGTGGCCAAGCCCTGTGGGTCACATCCAGCAAAGACCCAACTCCTGCTGGTGCCACTGACATAACACTTGACCCACATTTGGAAGGGATTTGGAATTTTCCAATTTTGGAAGCTGCTGCAAAATTGCAGAACATCCTGTGAGTGAAGAGGCTGAGCAAACCCCCCCTGGGCCCTCAAATGAGGGATTCACTGCCACAAATACCTATGATTTCCTCTCAATCCCTTTGGCTGGAATCTCCTCATCCAATTGCTGCCCTAATTGGTGAAGAGACTCCAGGAAATGGCAAAGCCACATCCTGGAGCTGCCCTGGTGTGTGGTGTCACCAGGGGAAGTCCCACGATCAGCGTTAATGCAAGCCAGGTGTTCCAGAGGCGCCTGAGCTCACACAGGTCCTGGCAAGACAATTCCTGGCAATGCAATCCTCAATTATCTCCAAAATCCAGCTCCAGCAGAGCTGGAAATCCTCTCCAATATAACAAATGCCCTTCCCTCAGGTTTGCCCACTGCCTCGAGGGTCCCAAGAACCTTTGGAGTGTTGCTTGCTCCAATTCACGTTTCTCACTTGAGTTACACAGGGAAGAGGGATAAATCTTGCCAAATCCAATGTGGAGCCATGGGAAGGATGGCAATTTGTTGAAGATTCAGCATGTCTAACCTACTGACTTGCTGTTGGGCTGGATTCTCCCTCTTCTTTCTCCTCTCCTTTTGCCTCCCCTGCTCTTATCACAGCGTTTGCAAACAAACTGCATCACCAGGGAGCTGTGCTGGGGACAGCTGTGGGCACACCTGTGCCCCGTGAACTTTTATTCTCCCTGCTCCCTTTCAACAGGTGTTTTATGCCTTGTTTTCAACAGACCCTGCCCTGAATTTGTTATTGCCTCGAGTAATTTCATTTTTAAGGGCTGCCTGACAGGACAGGCTTTTCTTCTGATAGAAACACTCAGGAAAGCTCCTTGTGAAGGGGGAAAAAGGAAAGAATGACAGCAGAGGCTGTCCTCGGGTGTCTCCTGTGTTCCTGTGTCTGTTCATGGAGGGAAATAACTCAGGAGGTCCTGGAGGTGATGCTCAGCACCATTCCCTGGGTTGCCAGCAGCATGTTGGGAAGATCCATTCTAACTTGTCCCTGTAATTCCAAATGTTCACCCAAAACCAAACAGCACCAGCAGGAAACTAAGGCAGAAATGCTGAAAATTTAAATCAGCTTTAATGATGGATCATGTTTTAGCATAAGGTAACATTTCCAGGAAAACTCTGGGACCGGTGCCATTCCCAACCCCAATCCCTCTCCCAGAAATGAGTAGGGACACACAAATATTCCTTTTCTGCCTCTGAGCCTTTCCATGTGATTCCATTTGCTGCATCTCTTCACACTAAAAACTGATTTCTGTCTGTGAGGATGGTCCGATGATCCCAAGTGGAAAGAGGATGATGAGGGATTGTTTGATCCCCAGGGATTTGAGGAAGAGCAGGACAAGGACCCTGCTTTGCTCTGCTCAGGCTGGGTTTGCTCTGTGATCTCCAAATAAGCCCTCACAGTGTAATATCTCCCCAAGCCATAGTATCTTTCTAATAATTCCATTTATTGCCCTGTTTGTTTTCATTTATGGTTTAACACACCAGCTGGCAATTAGGCCCTAATTTTGCTGTTATGCAAAGTAGCTGTGTTTATTTTTATAACACCGGCTGCAGCACAAACCGGATTTGTTTTTAATTGTGAAAGCAGCCATGGCAACATCCCCTAATGATGATCCAAGTGTCACAGCTGGGAGTGGCTGGGAATGGCTGGGAATGCTGCTCAGCTTGGCCAAGGAAGGTGCAAAAAACCTGGAGAGGTTACAGCCCTGGGATTCCCATTCCACATCCAGAATGCTGAGGATTCCCCCTGGATCCAGCACCAGTCCTGCAGGGATTCTATTTTCCACTTGCCTCCAGCCCTGATTTGCTCCTGAGGGGCAGCTCTGCTCTCTGGACAGGGACAGGACCTGGGGAATGGCTGTGTCAGGCCATTGGGATGGATTTTGGGAAAGGTTCTTCCCCCAGAGTGTGCTGGGCCCTGTCCAGGCTCCCCAGGGAAGGGGCACATTGCCAAGGCTGCCAGAGCTCCAGGAGGGTTTGGACAGCACTCCCAGGGGTGCCCAGGGTGGGATTTTGGGGTGTCTGTGCAGGAGTTGGGCTGAATGACCCCTGTGAGCCGGCCCCTTTCCCACTGAGGATATTCTGTGATTCCAATCTCTCTTCCTAATATCTTTCATTTTGCTCTTTTTTCCCCACATTCAAATGTTTCAAAGAGGGATGTCTGCCCTTATTTCCAGAAACCAAGGGTGCCAATTCCCTCAGGAGGTGCCTGTTGCTACCCCAGCTCTGGCCAGCAGCGCCCTCAGCCCTGACACGTGTGGGGACACAGCCTGGGCTCTGTGGCCAGCAGGGTTTCGGGGAGGGTGTGACCCACAATGGCTCCAAATGTTCCAATCTGCACTGGCCGGAAGACGCTGGGCCTGCAAAACAAGAATTGTCATAAATCACGGGACTGAGGGGGCTGAAAAGGGCAGGAGGAACCACAACTGCCTCACTTCCCAGAGCTGTCCTCACCCACTGGACTTGTCCCCAGAACCACGGCTTATCTTCCCAGGCTGGGACTAAAGGGACGTGAGTTCAGCTTTTGGCACAGCCAGGGCCCTCCGGAGGGAGCTCAGAGCATTTCCTGCGCCTGAAATCTGCTCCTGCAGGGCTGGGACGTGGCCTCTCCTTCCCTTCCCCGTCCCATCTGCTGGAATTCTCCTCTCCTTGGGAAAACACCACATCCCAGTGCTGGCAGAGTCTGCTTTTAGGGGGAATTTGGTGTTGCAGCTACCTGGGATTTTCGGCAGTGGGATTTTAGGCAGGGAGATTTTACGCAGCGGGATTTAAGATAGTGAGATTTTAGAGAGTGAGATTTTAGACAGTGGGATTTTAGGCAGTGATATTTTAGGTAGTGGGATTTTAGGCAGTGGATTTTAGGCAGTGGGATTTTAGACAGAGAGATTTTAAACAGTGGATTTTAAGCAGCGAGAATTTAGGCAGTGGGATTTTAAGTAATGGGATTTTAGGCAGGGGGATTTTAGGCAATGAGAATTTAGGCAGTGGGATTTTAGGCAGTGAGATTTTAGGCAGTGGATTTTAAGCAGCGAGAATTTAGGCAGTGGGATTTAAGCAGTGGATTTTAGGCAGTGGGATTTTAGACAGCGAGAATTTAGGCAGTGGGATTTAAGCAGTGGATTTTAGGCAGTGGGATTTTAGACAGCGAGAATTTAGGCAGTGGATTTTAGGCAGTGGGATTTTAGGCAGTACCTTCCCCTGTTCCAGATTAAATCAGGTCTAAAAGTGCTCAAAGTGCAGTCCCTGAGGCCTCTGCTGTCTCTTCCCCATGCCCATGTGCCAAACAATCTCCAGGCTGGTTATTTTTATCTCATTCATTGGGAAAATGATACACCAAGGTTGTTGTTCCCTCTGTGTGAGCAGCGATGGAAACTCAGGGTCCTGCCTCCTCCCCACTGCTCTATCTGGGAACAAAAACCAGCAGGGCAAGAAAAAGGAGCTTCCAGGAGCACAGAATCAAACAAAAATAACCAATATATGAAAAAATAAGTACTTTTTTTTCTTTTTCCAGGAAAAAAAAATTGGATTTCCAGAAAAAAAAATTGGATTTCCAGAAAAGAAATGCAAGCCTTCGGTGCTGGTGGCTCGTCCTGGTGCTTTATTTGAAGGAGTCTGTCAATCCCTGCTGGCCCTGCCTGGAGCCGTGTGTGAACGAACACACACGCACACAAAAATGCAGACAGCAAGAAGAAGTCATTCCACAGTCTAGCCTTGTTAAAGAATACAGCCACTTTCCAGCAGCAAACCTTCCCCCCTCAGCCTCTCCAGCCAGAGGAATTTCTTTCACCTCCTCAGAAGCTGCTTATTAAAGCCGGGCTGGTGCTGGTTCCCAGGTATTAGAACAGCAGCAAGGCTTAACTAATCTCTGCTTTTACTGCTGTAATTAAACCGTGCACTTGCCAGTAAAAAGGTAACACTTTAAATTAAGGCCCCGTTTCTAAATGCTGTATTAATATTTATGAAATGATTACTGCATGCAGCCACATTCTTGCAGGACTTATTAGAATGTGGGTTATAAAACTTGATTGTAATAAAGCCTTAATGGCTCTGCTCTGGTGAGCTGCAAGCTTTGCAATCCTACCAGGGGTGTCTTCTCAAACTGAGAGAAAAATGCTCTTCCCTGCCCTAAACCCCCCAAAAGTTTTGTGTCTCTGTGGTTGTTGGTCCCTCTGCTCAGCCATCTATGAGGTGAGGTGGCATTTCATCATTAGGGGGTTACTCTGCTGTGGAAAGGGTTGGGATCTCCTCTGAAACCTCCTAAATCCTCTCTGCCACCCCACACACACACCTGGGCTAGCACAGGGCTCTGAGTGCAGGCATTGGTGTTTGGTAATTAAATCTTTGATGTTTTGGCAATTCAGTCCTGCCCTCAGCTGGGTGACTGAGCTCCTTCCCTGTGATGCCTTGAGAAGGCTGAGCTGGAACTGAGGCTGGACAGAGTTACAGAATAATGCAGGGATTTATTCAAAGGATCTCCTCCATGGATCCCCCTGGGGCAGCACAAGAGCCCAGCCAGGGCTGCGCCCAAGAGGAACCCAAATGGTCCCAAAATGCACGAGCGCTGCCGGGGTCTCTCCCTGGGATCAGCTCTGCTCCATGTGCACATTGCAGTTCAGTGTCCAGTTCCAGCTGCAGCCCATCCAGTCCCATCCTGCTTGTTTTTCTCTCTCCAGCCCACGGGGTTTGTGCTCTTGGGCTGAGATTTGGATCATTTGTCCTTGGTGCCCAGCTGGAGCAGGAATTGTTTTGTGTCCCTGCTCTGTGCAGAGAGCTCAGCATCCCCTGATGTGAGCCCAGACCCACACACTAAAGCAGCACAGAATTGGGAAAATAGAAAAGCTGAAACCTGAGGCATAACTGATGTCCCTCTATCCCTCTGTTCAGGCATTTGGGCACCAGTTTGGAAACCCCATAAGATCTGGAGCTTCACTGGGTTTGGAAGGCACTGCCCAAAAAATTAGATTCTCCTCCCCACAATCATGAATTAGATCCAAAGGAGAGCGATGGATGTTCAGTGAGCAACAGGAAATTACTTCAACAGATTATTTTCTTCGTCACAGTGCCAAGGTTCTCATTTTTAGGTGCTGTTTTGTAACTCAGGACACCCAGCCCTTCAACTCTTTCACCTGAGCTGCCATTTTCAACTTGCAATGTTTAAGAATAAATAATCTTTGACTATTCCATCCCAAAGAATTTTGCAAGGGGTTGTACCCAAGGTGAGCATTTGCTGCAAAACTTCTGGGGGTTTTTAGCTCTTTTTTTCTTTCTTTTCTCTAGTTTGAGTGTGGTATTGCCACCTCCTGCCTTCCCCTTTGCTCCTGGAAGGGCACACGTGAGGTCCAAAACGTGCAAAACCTGAATGTCTATAAAATATTCTGCACCATGAATAGCTCAGTGTAAGCCAGTGGCACTTCTCCTGCAGGAAAATATTCCCATGCAGAAGTGTTTGACAGTTTAAGCATCGGTGATTAACCTCTTCTAATTAAAGCTTGGGGGAAAAAAAAAAAATCAGCACAGATTGCAGAGAGCAGAAAAACTGGGATAAATTCATGGAGAAAAAAGCCATTTCCATGAAGGAGCCCCTGGAAACAAAAGGCAACCTCCACCCCAAGAGTGGAACATCCTGAAGGGCCAAAATGCAGAGAGGTTGTGCTCAAACTGACCTCACCTAAAGCTGCTCCAGTCACGTAGCAACGTTTGTTATGGCCAACAACAGAACCCAAAATGACACAATAAAAAAAGAATTATCTGCGATTAGAACGAAACTCTTGAAATGTCTCCAGCTGGAGCCAAAATTTGGGAGGGAGGGGGGAGAGAGGAGTTTATTATTTCAGTAGCAGCGGTGCAAATCCCCTCTGGGTGCTCTGCAAACCACCCTGTGCTCTTTGAACCCAGCCCCCTCATTGACATGGTAATGGGCTTTGTTGAATTCAAAGACGATTACATCAGAAATGTGTGGCCTCTTGTGGCTTTTCCAAGGCTTATAAAGCACACAAATTATATGAAAATATTGGGTTGAAAAATTAGTAAGCCATAGGAGTTTGTGTTGTTTTAGCCACGCTTTACTGCAGGGAAGGAAAACTCTGGCTCCTCCAGACTTTTGCCCAGGCTTTCAAAGCTACTTTCTTTATTATTTTTCTTTTCTGGTGGGCTCACTTCGGATATACAGCCTGGATTTTTAAAGGACTTTCACACTGGAGCCACCTTCTCAACAAGAAGTGTGTGAAGAGCAGATACCAATTCTCTGAGCTGCTCCAGTTCAGTTTTAACCAGGAAAAGTTCTAACCAGAAAGTTCTGCCCCACAACTTTTGATGACATGAACCATCCAGAGACATCCCTGTCCTTATGGATTCATGCAAATGCAATTGGAAAACGTGGTTGGGAATGATTTTGTAAATTCTCTTTTATGTCAGGTTCATAGATATGATAACACAACCTCAAGTGCAACAGAAGTGAAAAGTTCCTTCCAGCACCTACTAAAACTAAATCAAAACTAAAAAAACTAAATCACAGCTCACCCCCAGTTATAAATATTTGAATATCCTATTCAAATGGTAAAATCCTATGGTAAAAGAGGTGTTGGAACTGCTGGGAATGCCTTTTCCACTCAAGAGTTCTCCTTCCACTCCTCCTCCAGTCTGAGCTCCCCTTCCCAAGACTCTGCCTGATTGAACAGGCCCTGTTAAATATCCAATTTTCCAAAACTGGTACTCCAATGTTGATCAGGGTTTAACACAGTTTCCCCGAGCCACAGCACAAGTTCTGCTTCCCTGTGAGCAGGCAAATTGTCCTCCCCACAGCAGCCAAGGAAGGAGGCTCGTGAGAAGTGAGTTCAGTGCACTTGACCTTGTCTCTTTGGGGTTTTGGGACAGTTCAAGATCATGGATGTGCTGCTCCAGTGTGAAATCCTCAGTTTTCAGAGCAGCTTTTGGTGCCTCCAGTGAGATGTGGAGATTTTGGAGGATGTGTGAAAGGGGCAGAAGGTTGGAGAGGCACCTCCTGTTCTGTCTGAGAGCACAGAAATAACAGCAACAGTCCATGCTCTCCACAATGTGAAAGAGGACGGCCATGGGATCATGTTGAGAGGATCCCAAACAACTTCCTCTGCTGCAGCCTCCCAGGGAAGGGGCTTGACTTTGGGCTGGATGAGCTCCCAGGCCTGGCCATGCTCCTGGAGCAGCTGAGCTGAGCTGAGCTGAGCTGAGCTTAGGGAGGCACAGGGATGCTGCAGCTGGAGCAGCAGGCAGGGCAGAGCTTCCCTGGCAGCAGCAGGGGCTGAGATCAGCTCCAGCCCAGCCCTGAAATCACACCCTGGGGCTGAGCTGATGCACTCAAGGCAGGGACGTTTCCCCAAAAGCA